AATCCTCATAGATTGCCTAACTTCAATTACTTTTGCAGCTCTACCAACTCATTCAGAGAGAAATAATTAAATAAAACGGTATGCCATTAGTTTATTCACTATCACAAACGAAGTTTAGTAGTCATTTCTAAATCCGAACCGGTCTCTAATCTTATATTTTAGATTACAATTTCTCTAATCAGATGCAAGTAACGTGGTAGACGAATTTCATTTACACACATGACATACACCTATTAGTAATCTGTTTCAAGATTGTTTAATATATGTTTGACGAGCTATGAAGCTTCCTCATAGATATGCTGCCATGTGACACACGACAAGAAGATTACGTCTCCATCGGGTCAACGCTAATGATTAATTAATCAGGATTATACTATTAATTATTTCATAATTAGTTTTTATGGTTTTATATTTTGGAATGGAATATTTTCTTGGTTAATGGTGGATTAAATAGTAATTAATGTGCTAGTGTGTAAAAGATCCAAACTTTCAAAATCATTGAATGCGTGTACGTTTATTTCTTTATTTTTTTCTTTGGTGTTAGGCTACCAAATAAGAATTTAATGCACCGGTGGCTTTCGATGAATTATTAATTAATTTCCAGGGTGCGACAGTCTAATTTTTTTAGCTATACAAAATTATTTTTAATTTAGAAGTCCATTTCATGGATTCAGCCTCCTAAGGCAGTTCTTTTGTGGACTGTTGTATTATTTAAAAGAAAAGGGACAAGTTTACTAGTCGCATCAAATTGGTGTAAACATTGACTTGTACAATTTGTACTCACCCATGGAAGCTTCTAACCCATTAAATTTGTAGGGTTAATTGCTCTAAAATAAATCAACTTTGGGTTGTATCACAAAATTTTTACTTGTTATTGAAAATATCATTGAATTTTATCAAAAATTTCTTCATCCATCACTAATTAGAACTCTATTCGTTGGCTTGAATAGAATTGTTTACGTGGTAGAGGGAATTCACGTGGGGCACAAATTACTATTCAATTTATCCAAACAGCGATAAATTGAGAACATTTTTACAAATTTCAATGATGTTTCCAACAAAATTTTAAAGTTCAGAAGTTTTTGTGAAGCAATTTAAAGTTTAGTTATTTTTGGAACAATCAAGTCATTTCCTCGACGAACTTTCAAAAAACATTTAAGTTCCAAAATTTTTATTTTGAATACTTTATTTTTAATTTTAAATATCTTTAATGAATGAACTTCTAATTTTCAAATTATTAAACGAGATTGAGTTGAGTGCAGAGTCTTGCGTTATGCCAATACTGAGACTTGTGCACAAGATGGAGGTTAGAATAACCTCTTTTTTGTTAATTGATAAAATTACAGATAAGGAAAAGGAGTACTGGGGCATGTGGTTTAATTCGATGCAAAGAGAAGAACTTTATCATGGCCTAACATGTCGCGAATCCTTTTGAAAGAGAAGGGTGCCTTTGGGAGCACGAACACAGGTAAAACATGATTGTCGTTAACTTGTGCCGTAAATTGTTGGGTTAAGTTCCACAATGAGTGCAACACTCGTGTTTAGTTGTTATCGTTGAGTTTGGGACCTTAAACGGACTGTCGATGATAAGTCGGAGGAGGGTGAGGATAATGTCAAGTCATCATACCCTTTATGCCCTGGACAACAACACACGTACTACAATGCCCACAAGTCTAGAGAAATAACAATTGCAATTAGAGGTGACTCAAATAAATTGAGAGTCTTATTTAGTATTTGTTTGGTTTAACTTTTATGAAAATCATTTTTTTTAACCTTATTTGCAATCACGCATTCTCCCAATAAATTTTTTTTTTTGCACGTTGATCCATAGCATTTTTTCTTAAAAAAAATAAAAATTCAGCTATACATTCTTCAAAGAAATCATTTTTCACTTCAAATAATCTATTCCAAACAAACAATTCACATTACATCTCTATCCATATATACATATCTAAGCTTTTGCCTTCTAGAAGAGTAGAACTAGTCTTTTAACAACATGATCTATAAAAATGAGCGTTAAAATGTAAAAGCTCAAGAGAGTAACAGAAATCATTTTTTGCCCCCTTGAATGTAATGATAATATAGCAGGAAAAATATAGAAGAACTCGACGTTGAGCATCAATCCCATTAGTCTTCTCTAGTTTTCGATTTTTTCCAGATTTAGCATACTGTGACGTTCTTTGCAGATCAATTGCGACAATGAAGTCTTTATGCAGGAAAGAAACAAAAAATAAAATGTCCTCAAAAACTGTACCTTAAACAGAAATCTTAGGTTTATAAATGCTAAAGAAAACGAAAAATCTCACATAGAAGCGCCATATTTGCACTAAACAATAGGTCTGAAAATTGAAATTGTATCACACCGCTCATCATGTACGCACAATCTAAAGATAGGATAAACGACGGTGACAACTATTAAATGGTGCACACTAGAGCAATTTTCACATCAAACTCAAGAAAGATCACCTCTGTGGGTAACCAGGAGGGGGGTAGCCGGCAGGGGGATAGCCAGAAGAAGCTTGATGCGGATAATAACCTGGAGCCTGTGAAGGTGGTGGATAATAAGATTGCCCGTACGCAGGTGGAGGATATCCAACAGTGGGAGGATACTGCTGATCGAGGCGTGACATTTGCTGGGGTGGAGGCACTGCCATTGGTTGTTGGCCAAACTTACCATCCCGTTTGTCCATTTCGATCTTGTGTTGTGTCTGAAGTAAACACACAAAAACAGCAACCATGCAACAGGATGAATCCGCAAATACACAACACTAGGAAAAAAAAATATTGGACGTAATCTTGAATGGCAGCATTAGCAGCATTTTATCCAGAACTTTTGACACTTTTCAATTCAAAGTTTAAATTGATAAATTCTTGCTTTACCTGCATACAAGCACAGACCCTGCAAAAACCAAAACCGAACAATGATATGAGATGGAGATTCTTAAATGCATCAGCAGAGATTGCTGAATGAAGAAGGGAACTATGGTCTATTGCTGAATGAAGAAGGGAACTATGGTTTCTTACGTGCAATAGACCATGTCAGCTAAGCAAGATAGAATCTGAGAAGCCTCTGAAATTTCTTCACTTCCGACAATCATTGCGACAATGGAAAAAATGCAAGCAACTTGTTGGAGGCAGAACATGAAACCCTTGATAGTTGGAACAAACAAAATCAATCAGTTTAGATACATGCACTTCAAGGACATATTTATACATGTCTATGTGTGGACGTGGAGAGATTAAGAGATAGGGGTAAGAGAGTACAATGATGCAATTGTCGCATTGTGTTGTCTGTATGTTGAATTCATCTTGCAACAAAAATCGGGTCGAGGCAACTGAATTCCCAAAGCACAAGAAAACCTGAAAATTCAATTTTTTTCATGCAGGAAGCCAAAATTAGTAAGCAAATGAACAGAAAAAGAATAGAAAGATGTTAGTAATGCAACCACTCTAAATATAATTTGAAAGAAACGTCTAAGGACTTGGAAAGTCCTTGTAAGAACTGCAGATTCGATAACTTCACAATAGAGCATATCAACTTAAAACAGAATCATTCCTTACTAATAATTTATTTAATTTTAGAATCAAAGCTACAGTGTTCTCTACAGAATGCTCATATCTTTATATTAGTTACTAAGGCAAAAATAGAATAGGCTTTTCAGTACGCTTGGCTTCCATACTCTCATGTTTGTTGCAAGGAAAAAATAATTTCACATCCTTTTCAGAAAGGCTAAAATGGAACACCATGTGCAATTTGAACCTGACCAGAAAAAAGCTATTTCCTTCAATTCTGGAGGGAGGATTTATCAAAAGTTGGTCCTCTGTTCTCAGTCATTACATATCACATACTTTTTGACTCTAAGAATAGTGTGTAGAGTTCAAAATGATGTAAAAACAATTCACATTAACCAGCAACTGCAGCACATTATGCTGCTATAGGAGAAAAGTCTAATTGGCACTCTGAAAGGAACAAAATCAAGTATGACCAAGTTTATGATTTACAAAGCATCATTACACATAGTGGTTTTCTATTTGTGCTTATGTGTGTTGTTGGTAAGAGGAGATGTGGAAGCACCAATGAACATTAGCTGCCTCAGATAAAGAAAAGGAAGGTATGTTATTGTTTTGAGCTGCCTGACCATCACAAAACATGTAGAGCCATGTGATGTTTCCAAACCGACTCATATGGTCATTTTCACCTAATAAGTGAAGAATCATCTCCAACATGAGAAGTGACATGTCAATTACAGAAAAACCCGCTGCTGAGATTGACAGAACAATACCTTGTCATAAGTTACTTCTAGATAGAACATGATAAGTTCCTATCCTACGAGGCAACTGCATATATCTTTTATCCTTGAGTTTCCCTAGATCATAAGATATAAATGTTCTAAAGAGAATAAATAACGAAGCTACAAACAGAGATCAGCATAATATGGACTGTGCAAGACAATTATTTATTTATTTTTTATTATTATTATTATTTTTTTATTTTTTTATTTTTTATTTTTTGACAATTTATTCCATGTTTCAATGAATCCAACATTAACCACTTAATAAAAAAAAGCTTCTCAAGAAACCAAGAAGCATTAGTTTAAAAAGATTTATATAACTAGGTAGTAGTAGAAGAACAAAAACAACAACAAAAATAACAGTCACCACCACCAAAATCAAGCTCTTATTTACCTCTGTGGCAAGGCAAAATTCTGGGCAACGACTTTCTCCACACCTCCCACTGCAGGGCATATAACCAGCACAGCAGACATACCTATGACAAGCGCCAGAAATCTTTATGAATTACAAGACCTAGAGTTAGGTCCAAGTGAAAGCTTAACGAGAAGACAAAACTTCAATTACCTGGACATGTCATTGTAAAGTGCTCGTTTGCGGAGCATGTATGATACACAGGGTCCACTGTATTTTGAAATTATTAGACGCTTAGATACAGAGCAGAAATAGCTTATCAACATATAAATAAGAGGACATATCCATAGGATTGAAGTTACATTCACACAGTAAATGGCACAATAAAAGCCCTTCCTTTCTCAGCATTAGTTCCACAGTAACCAGTTTTGTCATCTCCATCTACTCAGTTTTTATATTTTCACTTTTATTTTACCCTTCGAAATCAGTACAAGAATGCTCAAGTTTGTAACTGAAAGATCAACATCAATGTCAAAGAAGATATCTCCTAAATGATCCAACTAAGCAGCAAACCTAAGGTTTTCAGAACCTTAAATTTACTGCAAGCATCTCAATGACTTACCTAAAGGGTAAAAAAGAACAAAAATGAGTCTCCTCTAAGCATGTTGAATTAAGCTGAATGCAACACCTTCAGACAGATGCTATACTTATTCTGATAAGGGATACCGCAGTGAAGTGGGGACACACAGTTGAAGTTTGCAGATAGAACTCATAAATAAATGTCACAATAAAAGCCCTTCCTTTCTCAGCATTAGTTCCACAGTAACCAGTTTTGTCATCTCCATCTACTCAGTTTTTATATTTTCACTTTTATTTTACCCTTCGAAATCAGTACAAGAATGCTCAAGTTTGTAACTAAAAGATCAACATCAATGTCAAAGAAGATATCTCCTAAATGATCCAACTAAGCAGCAAACCTAAGGTTTTCAGAACCTTAAATTTACTGCAAGCATCTCAATGACTTACCTAAAGGGTAAAAAAAAACAAAAATGAGTCTCCTCTAAGCATGTTGAATTAAGCTGAATGCAACACCTTCAGACACATGCTATACTTATTCTGATAAGGGATACCGCAGTGAAGTGGGGACACACAGTTGAAGTTTGCAGATAGAACTCATAAATAAATCTTTCTCAATAAATTTTGAGCAAGAGATCATTAGTAACAAGTTAACATGTATGCAAAGTTCCAGAAATTATGAACCCAAAATTTTAGATAATATTTATAGAAACTTTCAAAGTCTTTTGTTTGGTATCGATTGATCAAGTCCAATCATATAGTTATATAAACTTCGAATTCGAAGACTGAGTAGTTTGGATTTCATAAACCATCATTAGCAAATCTCACTTTAGTGAACAAGGTCTAATCATAATTGTTCGTATAACCATTTGTTCTAAAAATTCTAATCGTTTCAGCTACCAGAATCACATTTGCAATACAGCCATAAAGTGGCGTGTCTATCTCATATTGAAGTAACATAGTAGACAATTAGCCAACCCATTCATAATAGGCAAAGTGGATCAAAGAGTTCGTGATGTAAACTGTAAATCAATTCTCAATTTTCATTAACCAGTAAGGAACTTCTTGAAGTTTTTTTTCAATAAGTTCATTGAAGCCCGTAAATCGCCACCAGCACCAGGCAATTTAAGTTCTACATCTGGTAAGAACTAGACCAATGGTGAGTGAACAGGTTGTACTATGCTAATTAGCAGGCAACCGAAACATGCTGATCTCTAAACTTGCAAGTTGTGGTTTTTCCCTTTCGAGTTTTCTTACTTCCCTTACAAAAAGAGTAGCACCCAGAAGAGAAACTTCTATCTTCTTCCTTTTTTTTTCTCCATATATTTAAAAGGAGCTGCAGATTTATATAAACCTCCATAAGCCAGAATCATAAACATAGCAGCAGCTTTAATTTTTCATTTAGTCATTCTGATTCCATGAGTTTGTTCATGCCATGTCAGTACTTGAGCAGAAATAGTTCAGAAGATCAGATTCAATTTCCCCCCGTTGTGGTTTTTCCCTTTCGAGTTTTCTTACTTCCCTTACAAAAAGAGTAGCACCCAGAAGAGAAACTTCTATCTTCTTCCTTTTTTTTTTCTCCATATATTTAAAAGGAGCTGCAGATTTATATAAACCTCCATAAGCCAGAATCATAAACATAGCAGCAGCTTTAATTTTTCATGTAGTCATTCTGATTCCATGAGTTTGTTCATGCCATGTCAGTACTTGAGCAGAAATAGTTCAGAAGATCAGATTCAATTTCCCCCAACTAATGCAAGTCCCACGCATTTTATGTGTATCACTACATGAAATCCGAGAGAAATACAAAAGAAGAAAACAACAATAATTTTCTTTTTAACAAGATCTTGATATTTTAAATATTCAATGCTGGTTTAGTCCATCCAACCAAAAACTCATCAAAACAAATGAATGCACTATTCAATTTCACAAAAGGGAATTAAATTCCTTAAAGTCAATCCTAGTCTTACTAAGTCCACAGAGTACCAAACTCGATCCCAAAATTCTCAAATCAGATACATTAAACACCAAATCCACATTCAAGCACTTTAAAACTCGGATCTAATCAAACCAAAACAAAATCTTAAAGCCGATCATATTTACTTACCACCAAAACGCCAAGCAACAATCTGCAAACCACAAAAAATAAAACTAAGTCCACAAAAAAAATTCCATTTTCCCAAAAATACAATAGTTCTTGCACAAAAAATAAATAAAAATTTGAGAAAACAGTATACACGGAGGATCATTTTGCATAGTGCGCATCAGATCGGTGTGCCATAGGTTACGATAGTTCTGTCGGAGCTGCAACTTGTCCAAATGCTCTTGATTCGCCATTTCGTTTCTTCTCCTAAAAATTATGAAAAATGAAGATCTGCTCCTCAGATTCTGAAAATGTTGAAGCAGAAGAAGACCAGAGTTTCTAGAGTTGCGCTGGAGAGTGTTAAAAAAAAAAAAAAAAAAAAAGAAGTCAAGTTCCCAAGTCGTGAGAATTTATATATATATATTGAAGAACATTAGTTGGATCTTGGCTGGGCACTTCGACTAAGTTAGCGCGGGGCGACTTTTCTTATCTTCTATTGACTTGTATTTATGGAATTTTCGAATTTGTTCGCAGTTTACGCGTTAGAGAATAGAATATATTTTTTCTGAAATTGGGGAATAAGAAAACAAAATGGTTTTTTGTTTGATAATATTGACATTTTTCTCTTTGATTTACTGTTTAAATACGTTATTCCGAAAACTTATTTTTGCATTGAATAATTTCAAATTCCAAATTTTCAAACTTAATTAATTACCTCTCTCTCAAATTAAATGAACTTATAAATATGGTTTTGAACTAGTTAATTGTAAAGATTGTATACCTTTACCAGTTTCACTGAGATTAATTTAATTTCACATATCAATTAATACCATATTAATGTCATCTAGTTGGGATTGCAATCCAATAAGACTAAATAGCATTACTCTAATAATTAGGGATAGTGTAAACTACTTTCTTCTAATTTAAGCTTGAATTAAAATTATTTTTTATTTTAAAATCAATGGATTATTTGCTCATCTATTATTATTTGCAAAGACAAAATTTGATTAGTCAATTTGCCACCTCCAAAAGAAGAACGATTGTTCCCTTTGTAGAACCCCAAATAATTATAGACACTTTAGTGGCACTAAGACATGAATATTGGAAAACTAAAGTATACATCAGATTTTTAGTCTCATTTGAGACCTATTTTCGACATAGGAAACATTCATTTTGGAAAATGATATCTAAATAAAAGTTGTAGCTCTTTGAATTAGCTTTCCAACGTATTTTGAATTACCTCAATCGGATATCGGGAGAAGAAGTTATGATAGAAACACTGAAAGCTGTGCAGTGTCAACCGAACTACAACCAGTCGACCGAAAATTCTCGTTTTTCTCTAGAATTTAAATATTTATTTTCATCAATTATTTTTTCAAAGGGCCACCCACATTTTTGGCAATAAAAACCACACTAAATTGAAGCATTTAACCTCAAACTTAAATGACACCCATATTTTCTTTCTTAAATGAAATTTGACCCTTCATTTGCTTTAAGTTATGGGATATTTACCTATAAATAGAGACCTCATTTCACTCATTTTTTCTCACACCAAAAGTAAGAGCTTTTACATACTAAAAAAAGAGTTTCCAAGAGAGAAAAAGAGAGGGAGGAAAACTATTTTTCCTAGAAGTTTAAGAAGTGTTTTCAAGCATCAATTCTCAACGGTTTTCAAACATCCAAGGAGTGCATTTCTTTCAACGTCCAAATTTCATCGAAATTTTCAATTCAAGTTTTCAAAGTTTCAAAAGCATCAATCAAGGTAGGTAGAGGTGCAATATGTTTAATCGTGTCAAGTTATAAGTTTCGATTCATGTTAATATTTGTATGTCAAATGGTACTCCGGTACGGCATATCCCTCCATGTTAATGGTTGTATGTCAAATGGTACTTCGGTACGGCATACCCCTCTATGTTGAAGAAATGTTCGTATGTCAAATGGTGCCCTCGGGTACGGCATGCCCCTTCATGTCAAATGGTGCCTGCGGGTACGGCATGTATGAAAAGTTATAAAGTTAGTATTTTGAAATGTATAGCTTGACCACGAATGCACCTATGACACCTATTGAGTTTTTCAACTCACGGGTTTAATCCCATCTCTACAGATTGAAGGAATTCTACTTCGGGCATGGATGGAGGAGAAGATAGAGAGTGATGCAACGAGCCCATGGAAATCCGGTGAATAAGTGATTTGGATTTATTTTTATGAAATGTTTTCCAATGTTATTTCTTTAAAGTTTTGAATAACACAGAATGCGAGAATAAATTATATTTTCTTCAAATAAATTACATTTTGTTGTTTTGAAAAATGATTCAGTGTTTTTGTTTAAAGTATTTGAAGTATTGTTATTTAAATTATTATCCGAAGATGTAAGCTTCCGCTAAAATGTATACACTTGTTACTAAACCACCGGTTAAGTTAAGTAAAGTAAGTAGCGTTCCGGTCCACTAGGGGTCGGGGCGTTACAGCGTGGTATCAGAGCAAGGTTTAGCTGGTTCTGTAGACCAAGTATGTTTTTTTTTTTTTAAAAACAAAAGAAAAATGAAAAGTTTAAGGTATTCCATGGCATCGTGCATCCATCCATCAACCTCATCCTATGGCCCAGGTATGTTCATGTTTAAAGTTAATGATTATATTTATGTTATGATACTTTGATATGATTTAGAGATGTGTTATTTAAAGATATGTAATGGACTTGAGCAAAAGCTAAGGCCTTAAAAGGAATTGCATGATATGAAAGTTTAAATATTTGCATGTTTTCTTTAAGCAAAGAAAAAGTATGATGTATGTGAAAATGCAATAGATATGGCTCGTAGAACGGCTAGGGCATATAGAGAAGTATTGAACTGTAGAATTGCTATCCATTCCTATGAAACTATGTAACTGATTCGACCCGACCGCTTAGCGAACATGTGTATGACATCTATGAGAGATGCATGACGGCGGTTAATGCTGGAATGGAGATCACGCATATCGAGACCATAAATAACATCACACACTCCCTCCCACATCAATGGGGAGATATGAGAGTCACGGTTAGAGATGAAATGTTAGAAGACAACCCAACCTGTTTGAGTTTGAGAGGTATTGCCATGCCCTGATTGATTGGTGGGATGATGTAATCCATGAGGAGCTTGAGGAGGAACCTTTGGCTAAGGAAGAAGATCCCGAAGAAGAACCCGAGGATGATTTAGAGAATGATGCTGAGCCTGAGCCACAGGTTGAGATGGACATGGAGTCCGGACCTGAGGCGGAAGACTCCTTCGAAGATGAAGCTCCACCAAAGAAGATCCGTAGAACTTATAGGGATTAGATTTAAATCCTTGTAATAGCTTCCCTAATGTCAAGAAATAAAATACTATCTTCTTTGCTTTAGTATTCGAAGAATGAAACTAATAAGAACCATATGTTTTGTCTAAAGGAAATGGCCCGCTCAAACCAAAACTTGATAAGAGACCTCCTCTGAGCAGTTTAAGACCTAGGCAGGCAAAACCCGAACCAAGCTCAACCCCTACCACTAGCTCCTAATGTTCCAAACCATGCTTCAATGGTCGAGCAATTTCGAAGGCACAAGCCCCCTACCTTCAATGGAGCAGCTGATCCACTTGCATTTGAGGAGTGGCTTCGCAAGTTGGAGCGTATATTCTGATTGATAGGGTGCACGGATGCTCAGAAAGTCCAGTGTTCTGAGTTCATGTTCTCTGGTGATGCAAGTCACTGGTGGGACTCAATGTCAAGGACAAGGACCCCTGAGCAACAAGCAGAATTGACTTGGGAGCAATTCAAAGGGGAAGTAATGGACAAGTACTTTCCCCAGTCTTTGAGGGATCACAAAGAAAGTGAATTCCTCCAACTCAAACAAAAGACTATGTCCCTGATTGAGTATGAGAGGAAGTTTGATCAACTTTCAAGGTATGCTCCACATCTGGTGGATACGGAAGATAAGAAGGTACGAATGTATGAACAAGGGCTGAACTCGGATATAAGCATGATACTTATGTCCCATCGCTTCACCACATACCGTGAAATGCTGGAAAGAGCTCATGCTATTTGGAACTAGAAGACTAGCGCCTAACAACATGGTCAACTGTTCAATCAACCGGACAATGGTAACATGGGAAAGAGGAAATGGAATGGCCAAGACAAGGGAAAAGGCAAGTGGTAGAACAAGAAAGCTAATGGCGGAGCCAATGCCAGCAAAAACATTGTGCCGGTTATTGCGCCTTGTTCTAAGTGTGGAAGGACACATCGTGGCGAGTGCTTACAAGGGAAAAATGTCTGTTTCCGATGTGGCAAGCTAGGACATATCATTGGGGATGATCCCACACATACCCAGAAGAAGGATGATAACAGCGACCAGAACCAGAAAGGGAAAGCACGAGTTTTTGCATTGACTCAACAGGATGCAGAGGAAAACCAATGGAAGCGAACCTATACATGATAGAAATGAAGGATTTTGATGTAATATTAGGCATGGATTGGTTAGGTTGTAATTATGCCACCATCCAATGTAAGGAAATGGAAGTATCATTTCAGAAACCAGGAGAGGAACCATTTTCGTTCCTTGGAATGAAGACGAAACCCCTTATTCGACTAGTATCGGCTTTACAAGCTGAGAAGATGTTGAGAAAAGAAACATGTCAAGGATATCTAGTAAGTATCTCAGGAGGGAAACAAGAGACGATAAGGGTTGAAGATGTACCAGTAGTACTGGAATTCGTAGATGTGTTTTCAGAAGATCTATCTGGTATTCCACCCGATAGACAAGTGGAATTCACCATAGACCTAATTCCTGGGGCGGTATCAGTATCTAAGGCCCCATACCGAATGGCCCCAAAGGAACTACAAGAATTAAAGAAGCAGTTGCAAGAACTCCTAGATATGGGCTTCATAAGACCAAGCTTATCTCCATGGGGTGCGCCGGTATTGTTTGTAAAGAAGAAAGATGGAAGCATGAGGATGTGCATCGATTATAGGGAGATAAATCGATTAACCATCAAGAATAAATACCCACTCCCAAGGATCGAGGATCTGTTAGATCAACTGAAAGGAACTAAGGTATTTTCCAAGATCGACTTACGATCGGGATACCATCAACTGAAAGTAGAGACAAAAGATATACCTAAGACAGCTTTTAGAACTCAATATGGACACTACGAGTTTACGGTGATGTCGTTTGGGCTAACCAATGCACCTACAGTGTTAATGGACCTGATGAATCGAGTGTTTCATCAATACTTGGATAAGTTTGTTATAGTCTTCATCGATGACATTCTGATATATTCCAAGAGTAAGGAGCAACATGAAGAGCACTTGAGAATAGCCTTAGAGGTATTACGCAAGGAGAAGCTGTATGCCAAATTCAAGAAGTGCGAGTTTTGGCTTGAACGAGTTGGATTTCTTGGACATGTAGTTACTGCCCAAGAGATTGAAGTAGATCTAGCAAAAGTAGAAGCAGCAACTAACTGGAA